TCGCAGCCCCCGACGCTGCCAGCCAGAGACGCGCTGCCGGTCCCTCCGCGACGGCGACCACACTGACCGCCGGCGCCTGCAGGGGGCGGCCGAAGAGCGGCGTCGTCGCGTGCGGCCGGGGCGTCACAGAGGGGGCGTCACAGAGGGGGCGTCAGAGGGGGCGGGGTGGCTCGCCCCGGCCCGGGAGGAGCGGCCTCCGCCTCCGCCGTCGGGGCGCTGCTGCTGCGGAGCCCGCTCTGCTCCCGCGTCGGGGCGCTGGGGGCTGCGTCCCCCTGTGCGTCGGGCGAGGTTTTGGAGGGCAATGCAGCAGCGCGGGCCACGGACGGGGCTGCGGACCAACCGCTGAGCGTGCAGCAAAGCTTGGCCCTGCCCCGCCGCTGCGCTGGTGCTGAAAGGGCTCAAGCCCCGATGGCCGCAGCCACTGCATCCAAATGCCTCCTGAGAGAATTAAAGCCTAGGGGCAAGGAGGATGTTTGAAATGTCGTGGTCACTTAACTAAGCAAAAGGAAGGGAGGCCTCTGCGATTTAGAGAGTCGTTAGAACGGTTGGAAGATAAGGGGGCTCCGGGATAATCCCGTCTGGGACAACTGGGCCGGGGGAGGACAAAGGCAGGGAAGATGGGAAGTCCCAGAAGAATGACAGCAGCCTTGAAGGAGCCCGTTTACGCGATCCTAGGGCGGAGTTTGGGCAGAAGCAAAGGTCAATCAGCGAACACAGCGAAGCAGACATCTGAAGACCCCCAAAGACCACTTGAAGACCACCACGGGAGACGACTGCGCGTGCGGATCGGGCATTTGCCTATGTTAATAAGCTCCAGGAAACACCATGATTATGTAACTGAATTCTCGGGAATCCTGTGAATGGGTAGGACTTTATGGTATACACTCTCTGAAAGTCTGCCCAATCGGTGGAGCACTCACGGTGGAGAATCCCCCGCGCTGCCCAGCGCTGCAATAAAGAATCCCTGCTTACCGGTACCTTCGTTGCTATTGAGTTTCATTTCAGGGACTCTCCGAATACCCCGTTTCTCCCTTGGGGAGATTCGGCCTGGGAGGAGAAGCATCCGTGCATTTTTGCCTGAGTGCTGCGTGCGCGGCGGGAGCTGTGGCTGCTCGGCCCCAACCCGCTCCGCCGGCCCGTCCCTGCCAGCTGCCGTGCTCGCCCCGGAGCCCGAGCCCGGCTGCGCGGCCTCCCTGGCGGGCTGCCCGCCTGCGCCGCCTCCCTCCCCGCCGGATCAAGCACCGGCTTCTGTCGCGACGTGGGTTTTTGGGGGTGGGGGGGGGTGGTTTTGCTGCTCGGCTGCCCTCAGGGTTTAGCGAGGCAGAGGGCTCGGCGTGACGGCAGAAACCTGCCCCAC